GTCCTGTGCAATTGCATAACGTTGCCATTGTTGCACCTCGGACATTGTATGGGGTACCCAACGCGCTGCAATTTTGCGGTATCCACGAATATCGTGCAGAATGTGGAGCACGGTTTGTGACATACGCCTACCTCAGCACCTAACTCCCACGCAGCCCACTGACGATCGACATCCAGCAAAGAAGTAGGAAGCTGAATTGTGTGGTTATCAACATGGGGTCGTCCTGAACGGCATCCCTCCCTTCACGGAACAATTTCACCCACCGTGCCACTGTGCGATATGGCAAAGCAGCATCACCACGTGCTTCTCGCAGTCCCTGATAACAGTTTTGTGCACTACGACCTCGTGCAACTTCAATTTTTATCCAGGAGCGTTGTTCTTGTTTCGTAAACATGTTGTTAGGGTGCTTGAACTGGACTCCTGCACTTCAAGACGATGCACAATGCCACTCTATGAAACACAACCAGAGTCACTCACTGCACTACCTCAACTGAACTTCTGCTATCACCTACAGACGGCGCTAGTGCCACCTGACGCACATCTTTCATGTTACAGCAGTGTTGCCACTACTTTTTATCCTACCCTTGTACATTGTGATACTGACAAAGAAAGCAACCACATCTCGGGCAAATAACTAGTGTTCAGCTTGTAGGAATATAAAGACAACATGCAGCCATGTGTAGCCATGTTCACTGAAGTGAACAGAAGTGACCAAGCACGGGCAAGTGAAGTCTGACTGCATCCAACTCTGTGAACCGAAATCGCCAGTGACGGAGGGAAATGGGGCACAGCAAAACCCCATGTGGGCACTGGGCGAGGCATGTCACCTCACACTTAACGAAGGCAAATCTGTGTCTCTATTCCAACGACTCACAAGTTAGAAAACCTTACAGCCTATAGATATTGTGACGTATGGACTAAAGCATAGCAGAGTACTTAACGACGCTGTATCAGCTGCAGCGGTTAGTGTCGAATAAGTAAATGATCATGTTCGATGAAATCAAAAGAAACGATGCCAGGATCGTGGCCTATTTTATGGTATTATCCCGGAAATCGTTAGGAGTGACTGAGGAATCACACAAGACGTCAATCAGGACAGTGAGTGTCCTGTCCGAGATTCAAACAAGACACTGCGTCGACGCCACTGAACCAACGCCCTTCATGCGTGTGTCTGGGACCCGCAATATAGCAGACATGAAGAAGGCAGGACTTTACTGAACGCCATGACTTACATCTCTAAATCCACGAGACGGGCTCGAGTGCGCGGGCGCCCAACCGAAAGTTCTCCAGTTCTTACAGCTTCTTCATAGCCTCCTCTCGTCTACTGAGAGACAGAACTGAATCACGAGATCTGTATAGTCTACAGCATTCACAAAACTTTAAGAACAAAATTCTTACTCGTGTAAAGAGACGTTATACTCTGCTGATTAAATACGTGATCAGATTACGCAATTCCGGACGCGAAGACGGCGGGATTTAGAGCTGCCAGAGAAGGTTTCTGCTCAATCTGCATCGCACGGAGCTCGCGCCACTGTCTGTCCTCGCAGGGGCAGAACAGCTTTAAATAATGTATGAGCTCTGAACGCTCGTGCCGAGTTCCCGAACGGCGTCAAGAGGGCAGGAAGATTCCGAATGAGGAGCGAAACTTGCGAACTGTCAGGTTAAATCGTAAGCAAGCAGAAAACACTTCTCAGCCATGAAGACAGAGGCAGCAGGTTCCTCCGAAACGACCGTCACTATCTAGAAGTCAGCAATATTTCCACGCGGGTTTTTTAATGCTTGTGGCGTGGGACTAAGTCCCTTGTACTGCGGCCACTGGCCTACTGTACCAGCCCCAGATGATAGGTGAGGGTGATTGTCGAGCAATTGGTGGAATGAAGATTGGCAGGGGAAACCTAAGTACTCGAAGAAAACCCGCCCCAGCGACACTTTGTCGACCACAAATCCCACTTGACCAGACCCGGAATCGAACCCGGGCCGCCGCGGTGGGAAGCCCGCTACTAACCGCTTGAGCTATGGCGCGGCCCTTCTGCGCGGGTTACTTTACGGCAGAGTCGGTATGCGGGCTGCATAGCGTCGCATGCCAGGGGTTGGTCATCAACTGGAGAGGATCTGGAAAGTGGCGGCTGTGTTCTGATCGTGGTATTATACAGGCATTTGCCTCGAGGGACTGAAGGACACTAACCAGAACATTCAGCGAGGACAGCCGGTGTCCAGGCCGAGATTTGAAGCAAGTGCCTCAAGAATACGAATCTAGAAAGTTACGGCTGCGCCAAACTGCCCAGTTCTAGCAGCAGTCACGGGAGCTGAGGCAGAAGGTGCTCACGTTCCAGTCCTCCGGTGAATATCAGTTTGTAACACAATGCAAACCCACCTGTTCGGACGGTTCCCTTGATTTCATTACAGCACGAAATTGGATTTCCCACTGCCGGAGTCAAACACAATTCCACAGCATCGGGCCATGACGACATGTCCGACACAACAATTCATCATCACAATCAGTCCGAAACTACAGCCAAATAAGTAATTAAGAGTGAAAATGATTAAGAAGGGGAAGCAGCGGTGGTCAACCCTGTGGTCTGGTGGACAGCAGGCCTGTGGCAGGGCCCCCCCCCCACTTCAAATCGCATTAGCCGCACGAGCCGACCTGTCTTATTACGGCCACTGCGCAAGAGCTTTATTGAAACACAAAAGCGACAGTGATTAATCTGCCTGCCACACTGTGTACACCGCTTTCTGCTTGTTTTACATGCCACCGATGAAAGCTTGACACACAATATAAATGAGTTGGAAATGAATTAGCCTACCTCAGAATATCAGGTTCACGTTAACAGGGTAAATCGATTGCCAAGAGGAACATAAGGACACGTATCGCGTTCATGTTGGAGTGTTTCGTGCTTGCGGGAAGACAAAGTGTTACTCTGCTCTATCTTGTGAGTGAAGCTGTGATGGGCTATGGGCTTCACAGTTTTCCCCACTCCACAGGGTCCAGACGGGCTCTGGGGCCCACCCGGCTTCCTATCCAATGGGAACGGCGAGCTCTTTCCCCGGAGGTAAAGCGGCCGAGGCGTGAAGCTAACCACTCACCTCCACCTAGCGCCTAGGCTAGGAATACTGGAGCTATACTTTCACTCCCTTACATGTCTTCAAGGCATGGTGCTTAATTAATTCAGCACAGTGGCAACTCTGCCTTATCTTACATGGGTAATATAGAAAGGCATGAACATTATATACATTTTAACAAGGTCATTTATAGACATTTTCACAGTTGAACCGAAATGTAATACAAGGTGTGTAGTACGATACAAAGTAGTCTCTCAAAAGACTGTGCTAGTCATATGAATGCCAGAGCCACCTTATTGAAGGGCAGGGCACTCAAAGAAAACGGCGGCATAACGACTGTCCTTCCTTCGAGCAACGAAAGATAATTTTGAATTGAAAAGTGTGCAAAGTACGAAGTGGGGACGGAACCTGCAACACGATTAACAACTGCGCGTAGTCGTGACAAATTTGAGGCCGATGTGCACAAGCAAAGCCCTGGGAGGCCTTGCACAGCGACGAGTCCTGCCAACAGTTCACAAGTCCACAAAACGTTGGGCAAGTCAGACAGGAACTAACAGTGCACTAAAACGTGCTAAATGGAACGTTTACATGGAACTGTTTGGTCTCATGAAGCAGCAACACTGAACACGCTACGGGAAGAAACTGCCAGTGGCTGCTCGCGCACCGGCCCCCAAACTCACAAGTGCCTACAAGCTTGTGGTGGCCGGCCACTTTGAACACTTGCTCCAGTTCAACATTCAACATGTGATGATTGGATTGCCAATATATATTTCATTAATGTTGAAGTGCACATATTTTTTGGGTCCCTCTGGAGTAACCGCAGCAGCAGTAGCCGTACTGGCATTCTGGACGTTCGGTTGAAATGTCAGTGCAGAGACCGCCTATACCGACTCACGATTCCGTGGATTTCCTCAGCCCCTCAACGCATTATACTAAGGCAGAACCGCTTCGATCCACATCCTCTCCAACCCACTGTTCACTAACTACTCCATCACACTCCTCAATACAGCCTCAGCTGACAAGAGTCCTAAACCTTTAAAAGCTTGCATCATCTCATTTCACATTCTGAAACTCTGCATTCTGCCCAGAGTGTGTCTGTATGTTCCGTGTGGTTCTCGCAATAAACAGCGACTGTTTTCCTAAACGGCATTAACCGGTTGGGCTTTGTAGCGGAGACGTAATGTGTTTCCTGTGAGGTACGGACTGAATCTCTATATTATTTGTGTTCCGTGTGGTTCTCACAATAAACAGCGACTGTTTCCCTAAACAGCATTAACCGGTTGGGCTTTGTAGTGGAGACGTAATGTGTTTCCTGTGAGGTACGGACTGAATCTCTATATTATTTGTGTGTTCCGTAGGGTTCTCACAATAAACAGCGACTGTTTCCCTAAACAGCATTAACCGGCTGGGCTCTGCAGCAGACGCGATGTGTTTCCTGTGAGGCGCGGACTGGATTTTTGGTTCGTTCATAAGGACTGCGGAAAGTAATTACTAGCCTCGTCATTTCTGTCTGCCTGCATGATAAATTCAGCTTCTACAGGACTGGTATTCGTGACACTTTATATTGTGCAGTTTTACTAAAATCTGTTGAGAGAATTCAATTTTGGTTCAAAGCGGATAGAAATAACGGACACGATACTCGAGGACCAAACTATGTATCTGAGAGCATCTCGCTGTCTCACGCTCCGCTGACGAGAGGACACTGGGGTTGCCATGGGAGCGAACCAATTCATTAACTTTCCAGATGAAATCTCTGAACGTGCCTCCAATGTTACGATATACGAGTACATGCATTCTCTGTCTTGCTGAAGTTATCAGATTCATTTCTGCCTTCAAAAAGAGTCAAATAAACAAGAATACATAGCAGCAGTATAAGAATTGTGCTACTTAAGAACACAGGCAGTCCAAATTAATTGTGTGGTCATTTGTTTTGTCAGGGACCTACAGAACTTCGGCTACCCTGGGCATCGCCGCCTTCATCATCTGTTGTTCTTCGTGGATAAGGCCTACAGGTCTGTTCGGCTTTACAATCATGTGTTAAGTAGTCTCTCTGTAGTTCTATATTCTTCCGCCTTGGACTGTGTAGATAGTTTCAGCCTACCTCAACTACCGTCTTACGTTTATATTAATAACTATTTGTTCTTCTCTATTTCAAGCCTAATATTCATATTCTCTGTGTTACTATCTTGGCAAGCCTTCAGAACCGCAGTGCATTCTGGGAACAGAGCAATTTCATGTCTATAATTATTCGCACTCATTCTACCACGTAACAAACTTGGGATACATGACAAGAAAGTCAACATTTATGCCTGTTAACCGCAAAGGAGGCCGTGGGCAATGAAAAGTTAAATAAATACGCTTACGACCTCCGCCATGTATGCATGTATGTCCCCATGTAACAACTCGAAATCGCTTAGGAGATTTTAGTATACAGCCGAGTTATAATAAGATTTCTCGATTCAGTCCAATGTTCATCAAAATAGGACAATACCGGACACTTTACATTAAGACCCACTTCTGCTTAAAACTTCATGAAACTTCCTGTCAGAATTCCTTGAGTCCTTACGAGCAGACGGACAGACATACATGACGTGCGAACCGTACACCGTTCTAACCTTTCATCCTGAATACTGGGAAAATGAAGGATGAGCGTAACCACTCGTCAGACAAGGTGTAACACTGGCTACCGGGGCCACGCAACATCGAGCACTGACGGTTTTCCAACGTTTCGGCCTACCTTACATTTTCCACCTTCAGGGTTACGTTTATTAAGCTTCAGCCGAGAAAGCCTAATGGCCTGAATACTTCTGACACGTTATTACATTATGGAGAAGACCACAGAGCGGCAGTGGAGCTCTGTTCACAGCGCACGACAGGCAAGCCCCCGGCTCCGATGCAACCAGCCATACCACAATACAATTGCTGCAGACAGCGCCAAATTAAAACACTTTCCGCTCTTCGGAGATGCAAGGAACTGTATCACGCCCCCAGCACAGCGGCAACTGCTAGCAATTTCGTAGTACAACGAGCCTCATTTGCTCCGCACGCGTACTTCCATTTTCTAGTCGTTAACCTCAACAAAATATGAAGAAAGAAATTAAGCATCTCACAAAAATGTTCCATCAGAACGTCGCACAGACACTGCCAATTAAGCGGGCCCCTTGGCGCCAGAAGACAGTCGACAGGGGGCTGTGACGGTGAAGGCTAACGAGACACGTTACACAGGGCCTCGGCCTAGGACGGGTTCCTTGGCACGATCTAAGCGAAGGAAAGCGGACACGGTATTCGCGACCCAGAACTGGATGAAGGAGCATGTGAATCCAGCGCCCTCATGTCGTTTCTTAACCTTTAGAGCCGAACAAATTTAACATTTTCATTAGCGATTAGCAGCTGCTGGGGTGTAGAACGCAGTAAATTTCACAACAATCTTTAAATTATGTTTCTACAAAGCAAGTAAGGTGAAGCAGCACTGTAACGAAGACCGCAGCGTAACCCTCTGTAGCATGACGTTGATCCGAATTGCATTGTAACAGGTCAGTTCGTACCTCGCAGGAAACACATTATGTCACCGCTGCAAAGCCCAACCGGTTAATGTTGTTTAGGGAAATAACTATTGTTTATTGTGAGCACCATATGAAACACACTGTGTGCACAAAATGGAGAGATTCTTAACGTTGAAACAGGCGATACATCGCTACGGTTATGCTTTAAACAGCATGACAAGAGAAGAATATACATTCCTGCCAACTACATGACTGCTGTCTAATCACGCTACACGGCCACGTAAATAAAACACGGAGCATCTCAATCAATAACAAAACAGGGGAACACCTGTTACACGTGTGGCCCTGATCCTCGTATATTCAGTTCAGAAAGCAAGATATGGCACACGGGAGGTCAACAGAACACACACGATTAAAAAAAAATCTCCTCCGCTGTCTTGTAGTCAGCAACATTATTGTGACCGGGACTTAAACGCTTTTCAGGCACAGAGGCAGGCTACTACATGTACCACGTGATTTAAAAACCAAGAACTTTGCATTCTGCCCGCACAGCCTATTTGTGTGTTCCGTATGGTTCTCACAATAAGTTTCCCTAAACAGCACTAACCGGTTGGACTTTGTAACGACGTTCAGGCTTCAAGGAGTCAAGACTACACCAAAGCAGAAGCCATAAAGTTAACTTCATGTGTCACTGAACCATACGGCCGCTTCCTGCGATGGCCTTTCAATGTCGCCGTGTTTTACGAAACTTCACGTCTAAAGATGAAGGAACTTTCCATACTTTCACCAAACAATCTTCTTTCTAGCAAAGAGTTACACAATCATCTCAAATTTCGTTACATGCTTCATCCACTGATGCAACACTCCAAATTCTCCCCGAAAGCATGTAGGTCTAAGCGCTCCACAGCTGGTTTTAAAATTCTCCGCAGACAGCTCCGCGCCGAACAACAATGCATGTTATCTACCAAACTACACGACATCATATTCCAGTCAAGGTCACCGCCGTGAGAACTCACATCTTATCCATATACGCGATTTAACTCTCGATACAGTTTCTTGACCAGCTGAACAACTATCAGCTGCTCAGAGAATGATAGCTAAGATATAATTCACTGTGCAGGGTCGGCGGTGGCTATGATCGGAGCGAATCTTCGCTTCGGTAGCGGCTCCACAGCGAACTCAACGCTGAACGGGAGCCGTGCGTTCCAGTGTCACCCCGGGGGAACCACGGAAGCAACCGTCATCTTCAGCCTTGGGGCGCTGGGCATAGCGGCGAACATTGCACTCATGGGCCTCATCCTGACCAAGCGGCAACTCAGAAGGTACAGAGTTCCCCGTCCTATTTGCTTTGCCTTCCTGCGCGTGCGCAACAAAAGTCCTAACGCTTCTTACTTGTATTTGGGAAGTTCCCGGTTCAACCCTCGCCAAGACTTCTCTAAGAAAATGCCAGGATAACACCTAGAATATGTCACGACCATTCCCTTCGAAATTCTTTCCAATTCATCGCTCACCCAATCATTTGATGCCATGAAGCTTAAGTTACTGACAGCGGCGTGAGGTAAACCATTTTTTTTCCTGCAGAACAGGAGAGGGCTTATGACTGCGCATGTGCGTGTCGATCTCACGTTGATGTTCGACATTGTGTCATCTGAAGGATATATACGTAATCTAACAAGGAAACGAAGGACGAGGAGAAGCATGAAAGGGCCCGAGAAAACGAAGAAGGGGATGGACGATACTAAAGAAATGATTCCTTCTTCAAGTTGCGGGTGCCTCCTCTAGCAGCACAACGAGGGAACACACTCTAACTAAACCCGCCGGACGTTACCCTGCAATTCGCACTAACAGGCAGGCGAAACCCTTCAGACAGAACGGATTTCCTTTCGCGCGAGTGAGAACATAGTAGCGTCCCCTGTATGCAAATTGTTAGCAACAGACAGAACTCTCATTGTGAGCGCCAAGTCACTCGTACAAAACTGCATGGATAGATAGGGATTATTTTACCAGTTCAAAAGAAGGGCGTTAAAACTGTAGTAATTATCTTGGGCCATCTCTGCTATCAACTTCATACAAAATTTTATCTAATATCCCTCTTTCAAGGTTAAGTCCATATAGAGATTAAATTACTGGAGATCATCAGTGTGGGTTTTAACTAACAGATCACCTGTTGATCACATTTTTTGCATTTGTCGATATTGGAGAAAAATGAGAGTACAATGGCCAGTACATCAGCTATTCGTCATGTTGCAGGGCAAAATCATGTCATAAAGACAGCTAACAGATCATCTGAAAATATGGCACAGTTCAAATGTATGGGAACGACAGTAACAAGTAAAAATTTTGATTCAGGAGGAAATTAAGAGACTGAATTAGGATAATGCTTGCTACCATTCAGTCCAGAACCTTTTGTCTTCTTGTCTGCTGTCCAAAAACATAAAAATTAGAAAATAAAAATTATAATTTTGCCTGTGCTTCTGTATGGGTGTGAAACTTGGTCTCTGACATTAAGGGAGGAACATAGACTGAGGGTGTTTGAGGAGAATATTTGGACCGAAGAGAGATGACGAGGTAGGAGGTTGGAGAAAACTGTGTAATGAGGAGCTTCATAACTTGTATTCTTCTCCAAGTATAGAGTGATCAAGTCAAGGAGGATCGAACCGAGCACCTCCGGGATACATATCTACAGCGTCGCCGCTCAGTGGCTCAGTAGGTACACGTCATTTTCCCCATTTTGACAGAATCAATAAACGTCGCAATGTGCTCGCCGACAGCGGAATCAGCCCTGCCCTTGGGAACCCTGTGACGGCTCCTACCTTTACAGTGAAGTCCTGGGAGGGTCAGGTGGCCATACGAAACCACATTCTGCAAGGATAAAGGGTTGAAAAACAAACTAAAAAAGATTAATAGAGTCCTTAGAAACACACAACAGCAGAAGACGTATGACCGTGCTCCCAATGGCGCTCCACAGTTGTCACCTGTGAGCATTAACCCTTTAAAGCACGATGGTAACTATATGTACCACACACTTTAACATTACAAATCTCTACATTTCGCCCACAGACCATTTATGTGTTCCGTATGGCTGTCACAATAAACAGCGATTGTTTCCCTACACATAATTAAGCTGGGCCTTGCTATGGAAAGCCAATACGTTTCCTGCGAGGTACAAGCTGATATTTTATAATTATTTAGGAAAATATCAGTTATGTAAACGCAGAAACTAAAAGTTTACATAGGCCTATTATTTAGGCAAGCCTTCCCAATGGGGAAGCGGTGTTTTCTGTAGGGTAGGAACTGAATTCTTTAAAATGATTTCGATAACTTCAGGCCTCGGAACAACGAACTCACACTCAGTCGCATGACGCAACATTTCACGCGGAACAGTTTAATTTGCAATGCAGTTACAAAGTTTAATTCAGCAGTAAAGTCGGAAATGAAACTGAAGTTTTCAACCAGACGAGGGCAGTAAAAACTTGAGGGTATTTTCGGACGTGTCTCTCTTCATCTGATTACGTCACCTTGTTCTCCAGGTCCCTAGCGTTCCCCTCCCACTGCGCCACAAAGGTGAAGGTTCAATGTATTCAGTCTCCTCACACAAACAGAGAGGGAAGAAACGCTAGCAAGGTAACGCTCCACTGAGTCCTGGCCAACGGCGACGGCAGTAGCAGGCGTCGTCTTAACTGAACGCTACTGGAGGAAGAGAGATCTGAGTCCATCGGAAGTGAAAAATGGCCTGAAGCCACAATCGGCCCGCTGCATGAGGCCTATCGCGTATCAGATCTTTACAGACAATGAACCGAACGGGGCCCGAGAGCTGAATGGAAGAAGGAGCTAAGCGTTAGTTCCGCTGTTTCTTTGTAGGATGTACGGTTCTCACAGCTGTGACCATGAAGTGTGCCATCTTCTGGGTTGCAACGCCGTGTAGTCCGGTAGAGGTCCTTCGCGTTTGAAGAGGAAACCAAGCAAGCACCTAGTAAGAAACACGCGACAAGCCAGGCTCTGCTTATCGTCTGCTTTTGCCTACTTCCTTGCTTGGCTTACTCTCCCAACATGAAGATGGAGGCGATATCTTCCTCCGAAATGCCGGTGGACTTCTACCGAACTACACGGCGTGAAGTCCCTGAAGATTGGTAAGTACTGTTTATAGCAGCTTCTGTGGAAACCAACGAACTATGGAGTTACCAGGCACGAGACTGGTCTGAATACGTCGGGATAATGAGCTAACAGACAACCTAAGTTTACGTTGCAGTTCCCTCGCAGCTCACATTATCCCAAGTTACATGCAGACATAAGACAGAACCAGGAACGAGGCCTGCGGCAAGACCGTCTATAGCATATTCCCTGCCCACGTGCACAAATATACTCTATTCGCAAGTAAACGAGATATCGGCGAGAGGCGCCAGCGTCTTCCGGTTTATTGGATTACAGGTCGAGGAAAGGGCAGAAGTCTTCGCGCGGGCGGTACACACGATGACTCTTAACTGCAACAGAAGTACGTGAAAACGCTGTGGACATTGCAAGACTGTCGGCGTTGTGAACTGCGCTTTTAACTCGTCCTGCGATCCGCCTGTCTTTTCCCGCCTCCCCTTTTGGTGGGTTTATTTTGCGACGCTGCTAGTATCAAGACTCTACTATATCGAATGGCAGGAATGATGAATTGGAAAGGATTTGGAAGGAAGCAGTCGTGTCCTAATCGAGATAAAATCTCGTCATTTGCTGAAAGGACACGAGAAAAACTGAAACAAAACTCAGATGGTACAGTGGAGTCCTGACCGGGATTCGAACCGGAACCTCACGAATGCAAGTCGCTCTCGTGACGCAAAGGCCACTGCTCTCGGAGCTAGAACATTTTGTTAACGAAGGAGAGGATTAATGTGCTAGGTTACGAAGAAATACAGGACGGTTGGCATTATCACGGCGTAATAATTTAAGTGCCTAATCTCAAACCCAGCTTTCCTTGCTAAAAGCAAACAGCTGAAGTTCACACAAAGTTACATTCTAGAAAACAAACTTCGAACGCCTGGATCTGGTCTAAAGAAGTGAGTAAAACAAACAAACTTTAACAAGGGTTTATCTCTCTTACGTTCCTACTGCTTGCTGTAAGAGTGGCACATGCTGAAAGCGATTCTGGCATCTATCTCACAGCCCACAGTCCACTGGCCAACAGCCGTACCAATTAACGGCGTGCACAAAACAAACTGCCCTAAACGTGCTCATGTCCGGTGAACACGTCAGAAAACCTCGATGCAGAACACGGGTTTGCGGCATTCATCTATAGGAGCGAAAAGTAGTCAAAATTACTGGAGTTGTTTTCAACAGAACTATCGGCTTACATGAGAATCGCCACGTAGCCCTTTAAAGCCCAGTGGTAACTATTGTGTACCAGCGGCTTCATCGACCAGAAATTGTATTCTGCGCAGAATCCGTACGGTTCTCACAATAAACTGCGACTGTTTCCCTAAACAGCATTAACCGGTTGGGCTTTGTAGCTGAGACGTAATGTGTTTCCTGTGAGGTACGGACTGAATCTCCTATATTATTTGTGTGCTCCGTATGGTTCTCACAATAAACTGCGACTGTTTCCCTAAACAGCATTAACAGACCGAGCTTTGCTATAGAGATGTTTTCGTAACATCAAAATTAATTTCCAGTATGGACAGCGTTGTCAGTGAAGCGACTAGGCTATGGGGTGATGACTGAAGAGTGGGGGGGTTCCCCGCCGGAAATCAAACCTTGATTCTCTGGTAGTCCAGCCCGTAGCTACACCGGTTCATGTTCTCTGTGAGATACAAACATACTTATTAAATATTATTTGCATGAATTTCGGGATTCAAAGTGTTAACAGAGCGACTCTAGAAACCCACGCTCTTTCCGCCTGTTATGGCTGGCTGTTTCGGAGTTTCCACCCCTCAACGGCAATTCAACCCCCCTGATCCTGCAGTTCACTCTACCGTGCAAGAGCAGGCCTGTCGGCACGGCATCGAAATGTCACGCAAAACACCCGCAGTTTGTGGGATCAAGCATTTTGTAATCCGCATAAATTAGTGGCTTTGTGGCCGCCCTGTTTGCACAGCAATATCCACAGAAGGCCGCAATTTCCTTCCAAAATAACTGCCGCGCACCAGTGACTATCCTGTACACACACAGCGGGCCGAATCACACGGAGTCAGCATACAAGAAGTGCTTGTTGCCAACAGGGACAGACACAAATGCATAAGAATATATAAATAAAGCAGCAGTGTACAGTGAGAACTCCCAATACGACGAGAACAGTACAAAATAAAACATACTGACTCTGTACGGAAAAGTTGGGGCCTATAGGGCACAGTACCGCTTGGTGCTGCATTCTGCCCGCGCAGTGTATTTATGTCTTTCGTGTTATTCTCACGGTAAACAGAAATTGTTTCCTTAAACGGCATTAACCGGCTGATCTTTGTAATGGGCATGTAGTGTTTTCTGTGAGGTAGGAACTCAGTTTGTAAATGCAATTCAGATCAGCAAGGCCACTGGTAACGTTTCGTGTTTCGTCGTCAGTACACGTATGTACGTTTTCTTTCGCCTCAAACTTTACCCCTACTTGAGACGAAGTACGTTCGTACCATCTGTAGTCGGTATAGCGACTGGCTATGGGCTGGACGACAGAGGGGTCGGAGTTCGAGTCTCAGCAGGGTCAAGAATTTTCTGTTCTCCACATCGTCCAGACCGGCTCTGGGGCCAAACCCAACCTATCCAATGGGTACCGGAGACTTTTCCCCGAGGGTAAAGCGGCCAGAGCGTGAAGCTGACCACTCGCCTCCAACTAGTGCCCAGGTCAAGAAAATGCGGATCTATACATCCACTCCCCCATACGCCTTCATGATGTACCGGCTAATTACTTAAGCACAGGGACAACTTTTACCTTTACCATTCCTAAATGCACTGACTGTTTCTACACCCGTCTTGGAGCTCTGTGCAACACGGCTGGAGTGTTCTCCTTCATTTCTTGGGAAACACGGGCCGCAACGGACGGACAGACAGTTGCGCAGGAGGAACATCTAACGAGCGTGTTCCCATTTAACGAGCCGCTGTAAACCGACCTAATCACATTTTCCTCGCGTTTTGCTTTGAACTGCAAATTACTAACAATCTTATGTGCTTAGCACGTTTAAGATACGGGAGCGCAGAACGTAACGTGACCACGGGGAAATTTCTGCCCGAGAACCGCCGACTGAAATTGACTTTGTCTGGGTCAAGAGAGAACTCGCAAAAAGAGCGAAAAATGCCAGCGACCGATCCTTGCGCAAGACGTCTCTTCATGCTGATGAATGACGAAGTGTCACAGAGCCGACACCGAAACCACTGGAGACATCGCGTCGTTTCGTGACATTTCGCATGAGGCGTTGCTTCGGTTCGCAGATTTGTGGACGGCCCTGGAAACGTTCCAAGCCAATCCCTTCCGAGAACACTCACGTCCCCAAGTAAACCCTCCCCAGTGACACTTCTACTAAGCATCCCTTTAACTCGGCACATGGTACAGGGTTGCAAAAACCGCCAGAAACCTTCATTAAAACATGAGAGGAGCGTGCACATGGCCACGCGTTTCACTGGAAACTAAAGATCAGATTTCTTGACGTGAGGACGGAGGAATCGTGCTGTTTCAGAAAGAAATACTTACACGAGAAGAGGCTTGGAAAGCGAGTTACGAAATGCAGAAATTCATGCCAGCTAATTCCCTTTTGTTCAACATGAAACCCCCAAAACGTGTGAAAAAGCGTACTAGACAAAATGTGTTTCGCGTTTCTCTGAAACTTCTCTTCGAGGTAATATTTCGCTTCGAAACTGCGAAAACATATATATCTACCATATTTACTATTATTCCAATCTGCGCGAAAAATAATTATGATAAATCGAAGTGAGCATCATACCAAGGCGTGTTTCGAATGGCATTTACACAAACGGCACTAACGTTAAGAAGAGGGCCAGGAATGACGATTAGTGAGTTAAACAACAAATAATGTAGGTGAAGATATATTACGGAAGGAGAAAAAATACCAAAGATATATCCAACGACATGTCCAAGCTAATTCATGACGACATACTTCGCGTTCTGGCCTTCTGGGGTATGATGCCGTGTTCTTTTGCTAACCTGCTCCTCCTAATCCACCTACCATACTCCACGCCGCCACGACGCAGAAGTCCACAAGATGCATCCAGAACCGCCTCGTGTTTCAGGTGGTCACAAGGACTTCTGTTCCACCAAGCGCTGGTGGACTGTGCGCGGGCCGCCATATTGATACCACTGGGGATCAGCATCTTTAGATGCCAGCCCGTGAACAAGTGTTCTCTAGTGGAAACGGCGTTCCTGCTGCTGGTGACGGTGTCCACCGTCAACATGCTGACCACGGTGCTCAATGACTCCCCCGTGTTCCCGGAAGACGACGAGGACGAGACAGACCTGACGGCGCCCCTGCTCATGGACTCCCCGCAATGCGTCCTGTTCGGCACGTTCATGATCTGGTTCGCCAGCATCACCATCAACCTCGGACCAACTTTCCTGAGCGGAGCCCTGGCGGCTAACTCCGAGACAGGACACAACGCCCCGAGCTGCCCGCTCGTGCACGGCCCCTTCCGACACTACGTGCTCAACGTTCTCTGGATTCTCATCAACGTGATCTGCGTTGTGCTCACCCTGTTCCACCTGCACAAGCTGCACAGGGACCTCACGAAAGCGAATGTTGAGGCTGTCAGGGTTGCAGGACTCGTCACCACGCTCGTCAGTGTGACAGGTGGCTCCACAGCCCCGCTCGGCGGGGGCAACGGCGCGGTACCACGGGTAAGTAACCTTTGGCTCTTCACTAGCTTACGGAGAAGGGCTGCTGCATCCATTTCATGTCTGTTCTATATGCAGCCAGACGCAGCCTGTGGAGGTGGAGCCGTACAAGAACACCGGCGCATGCGCAACTACTTGCGTCGAATGGAACGCGAAGGTGTCCAGAGGGTGAAGATGTTCCTGGTCATCACAGCAGCGTACGTTCTGTTCTGGGGACCGCTCTTCTTTGTCACCCTGGTCCATCACCCGGCCCTCGGAAACCAGCTGGGGTACGAGGTACGTTAACTGTACAGCAAAAGCCGCATTAGCGACAAGCGATTTGGGAGCTGGACGCCTCGAGCGAGGTGATCCCATCCTCGGGAAGTGTGTGGCCAAGGTTGCGTTTTGGGCCAGCCGGGCCTCAACGCGGATGCTTAAGAGTTAATTAAATACCACCACATGAAGACGCATGGGGAGTGCACGAACAGATGCAAGCATTCGTAACATAGGCACTAGATGGAGGTTAGTTGGCGTCACGCCTCTCCGGCTTTGCCCCAGAGGAAAACACTGCGCCCCGATTTCCCGGCCCAGTCGCCACACCGACTGACGTCACTGTGCACGTGTGCGGCCTGTTGCAGATCACGCTCCACGTGGCCTACGTACACGCGTTCGTGAACCCGACGCTGTTCCTGGTGCTGCACCGCGGCCTGCGGCAGGCGGCTCTCGACCTGTGCTGCGGCTGCTGTTCCCAGTGGGGCTCGTGGCTGCTTGCCGGCACGGCCGTTGCTGGGTATCGACAGGCGGCGCCTACACTGCTGCCGCCCCCACCACAACCCCCGGCGACGTCACTCGGCGATATCTCCTTACTAAAGCCGCCACTGCCCCCTAACAACAAACCTCAACTGGTAAATCAACTTCTATGTGAGTAGCATGGGGCCCTCGGTTGCTGCGGCAACAGAAATTTGGGCCCATGTTTCCTGTACGAAAAACTTCTTCCCACTCTCTGGTACCCAAAGGTTCATTGCCGTGTTCGCAAGAGCTCGCCACAGGTTCCTACCTTGAGACTGCTGAATGCTGTCCACATTTCCCCACAATATTTTTTCACACAAATTTTAATATTATCACATCTTATACCAAGATTCCCAAGTGGCGTCTAGCCTCCACCATTTCCGACAAAGCTAACGCAAATCTGAGGCTCCTTATTGTACGATTTTCAGTCTTCATGCCACTCCCTCCCCCTCCTACAGCAAACTATTCGTCCCAGCACCCTGCTCTCAAACACCCTCAGTCTACGAACTTCCCTCAATGCGAGAGACCAAGTTTCACACCCATACAAAATAACAGGAAATAGTTGCGTATACCTATCTTTTAGACCTTCGGATATCAGACATGACGACAAAAATATTCTGAACTCAATCGCAACAACAATTTCCAAATTTAACCTGCTCTTAACTTCGAGGAAGCAATTTTGATTTGTTACAAAGGTTCCGAAATATCTTAACTACGCCAGATCTGCTAGAAACGTTACGTTACGTTACGTTACGATTCTGCCCTGCATTCTCGCGACTACACATCAACGTACACTTCCTTCACCTCTGCACCAGTCTGACACAGACACTGTGTTCTTCGTAATAGATATTTTACAGCATACACCGGCCGGGCGCTTGCCGAGCCAATTAACTCCAGCAAAACCGCTCCAGTAATTACTAACCAAGATGAAGTCGTCTGAGAAATTTATCTTCTTTGATGGGTGGGTTGGAGTCTGGTGTATAACCAGTGGACGTAACTTACAAGTGGCATATACAGAAAACGGTTTAAGGCACAGCAGTCACTATATGTGACAGCTATTTTAACTTCAAGAAATCTCTACATTCTGCCCACACAGTGTATTCGTGTGTTCCGTGTGGTTCTCATAGTAAACACCGTGTTTCCCTAAACACCATTAACCGGTTGGGCTTTGTACCGGAGACGTAGTGTGTTTCCTGTGAGGTACGACTAGCAACTGAATTTTGATGTATTACACGTATTTATACGGATTTACCCCCTCTTCACTTGAAGAACTGGCGCTAGTGCGCCTGTGAATGCAAGGCGCCGTGTGTATCGCTCAGAAATAAGACAAAGCACGAGAATCTCGTTAACAAAAACCTTATGGAACAAGTGGCATCGCTCCCACGAGGCCCGCGTTTTTGTTGCGAGGCGGCGCGCACAATATGTCTCGCGGAAACGACTGTATCACGGAGACGCCCAATGAAGACAATTGGTCGTGTTTACGGGAAACGTTTTACACGTTTCGAACCATAAAACCCGAGACCATATTCACGCAGTATCTCTGGCATACAGGAATGGCCAGGCCGGGAATATTTCTGAATTACGAGCAGAGCAAACTTCGTCAGTAAATTAATTTCTAATCAGTTTATTACGCACACATACTTAACGGAAAGCACACAACGCGTCCTTCTGCCTGTTTGTATAATTCGTTACATATTTTCATATGAGGGGGTGTGACTATAGACGGGGTTTGATTGGTGAATGGATTTACTGACCACTTACACACACAACTCGGAACTACAATCAATTTCAGCGCTACCGCTAATCTCCACAGTTCACAAACCACCATATCACCCCGCTAAGCCTTTTTCCGGCCTCCTGTGTCTTCACCAGCCGTTCCCCGACAAAGGCTCCTAACAGTGGAGACACTTCACGCGCTCAGGTACTATCTCCACAGCCTCCCGTGTAGAACTGAACTGAACTCATTGCTCCGACTGTCCTGGTTATAACTTATCGGCACGGACCACATAGAAAACAACCAGTTTCCAACCGAAAACATTCTTACCGAGCCAGTGACTGGGAAAGGTCGTTGTTTACAGAGTTCCTGCTATACGCTACAATATGTTCACACCGCTGCACCTACTTCCACAAAATTACGAATGACTGAGACGAACCTCCCCCTTTGAGGGTGTCCTTAAACGCTTGAAAATCCCAACTTTTGTTTCAGTTAAAACTTCGTAACTGTGGCGCGTTCGCTCCCCCTTTTGGCTACCAGTCTCAAAACTCGTAACTTGCGGAAAACGAGTACCTTCCACAAAATGCGCGTTTGCTTCTCCAGCATCTGTCATTACTCACTGGCTGTCACGCACAGTGAACTACGAAGGCGCAAGTTTCGCAGTGATAATTCTAAAAAGAAAAAAGAAAGAGCGACAAAAGAACGGATTTAATTTGGTTAATCGGGGGAGCGAGGGGCGAGTAATGAGCGCCTCACCAAGGAATAGCAAGGGACAATCCTACACGAGCCGTAGCCCCACCTGTTAAACATTCAGACTGTCTGTGCGGCACGCGCTACTGCACTGAGCCCTGTGGGAACCCAGCCACGTGCTGTGATGGAAACCAAACAGGCTAACAAATGAATCTCGCACCCCGTCACAATAAATCTTACTAACAAAGAGAGTTTTAAAAAAGGGAAAGGTCGAGAGGGAACAACATCACTCAGTCGCTAGACCTGAAGCCCCGAAGCAGCGGCTTGTACCAGCAGGTACAGGGACAGTTATCTCTCCATTGATTAATTACGCACCACGCCATGAAAACGTATGGGGGAAAAGAGGTATGGCTCCACCATTTTTGACCTCAGCAGTAGGAGGTGAGTGACCAACTTTACCCGCGGGGAAATCGCTCCCGGTATCCCATTACAGAGGATGCTTGGTGAAACCCAGAACCGGACTGGACCCTGCGGAGAACAGAAGAATCTCTTGCTCCAACCAGAAGTCGAACCTTTATTTCTCCGCCGTTCAGCCTTAGCCTAGCAACTATACAACCAAAAGCGTTTAAAAGCCGGTCTATCGAAATGAAGCATTTCAAGGCTGACAATAACAATTATGCACGTTATATTTCATGTAGTGACACGAAAACACAACATTAAAAAACACACAATACAGGGGATGGACAAGATAATGGAAACACTAGGAAATTGAGGAACAGAATTTGTGTTGGCTACACTGAATGTTCTTCCGTTTGTTTACACTCTGTAGTGCTCGAGTCAGTGAAATCATCTGGCTGGCTGCTGTGAGCACGGCAATGAACCTTCGGTCAACTTCTTGAGTAGCTGAGCGATTACCAGATTGTCAACACGGATTACTTCGGTCGGTAAAGTAATTTTGAAAAAGAAAAGGTGCCTTGATATGATGCATTCTAACTGCAGGTGCTTCTTCTAATGCGGCCTGTGGCCCTGCTCTGTCGCAGGGAAACGAAAATATGTTTGGCAATGACCCCTGGGGTCAGTCCGTCAACACCCACCAGCACGTTCACATCCTTCCGGACGACGACGACGAGGACATGACAGCATCTCCAGTGCTGCCACTCAACGGAGGCGGCAGCTTAATGCGTTACTCGCCAACTGCTTGCAGCGAAGTTGGCTCCCCGCTTGATTCACCTCGGTGCCCCAGCAGCAGCGACTGACCGCGAGTGGGGGACCCACGTCAGTAACACAGCGCGTGGGTTACACTCCCCCCTTCCGCACACACCTACACCAATCAATTACCTACCTACATCACACTGGAAGAATTCTGGAATATAACAAAGTGTAGTCGGCTGAAAGCCAGACGACGTTTCGGAGGAAGAATGCCGAAACGTCGGTTCTTTCAACTGACTACGCGGCGTTATATCCCATAAGATGGAACTCTTCTTCATACCAACCGCTGTGAAAACCTCAAATCCTACATACATCACGCTGGTCCGTCAAATGCAATGGGAACAGCAGAATGGAAGCCATCTTCCCCCGTGCTCTTTGTGTTATGAAGCCCGTCCAAGAAAAGAGCCCACACAGGAACGGCCACGTCTGTCCGGACGTCCGCATGTTTCAACTCTAGAAACGCTGGCTCCATTTCGAAGAATTTTGATATGAACCTCATGCCACTGGAAACCATCCCATCAAATTCATACAAACGGTATGGACGTCCATATAGATTTCCTGCAACTGGCAACAGCAACAGAGCAGCAGAATGGCGAACTTGCAAGCTGGGGGCGACAGCAGCACAACTACAGAACAGCGGTAATTATGACAACCAACAGTAATTACTGCTGATGAGGACTTTCACGATGGATAACACCAACATTACCCGTGGCAGTCACAGGAAGATATCAACAATGGGACACGTGGTAAAGATGGCAACCAGAGGACTGTGCTCTGTGACATGTACGTACACTCGAAAGTAAATTCAGAATCACACATCTTCGGACAACACTGGCCTAATATCGCGCATCTCCAAACTCTAACATAGGCCTAATATCACATACCTTAAAATGTTTAACCTAGTTGTAACACATCCCCCTTCAAATGAATCTAACACCACTTAGTTTCGAATGTTAACACACACCCAATATCACACATCTTCAATGTTAACCTAGGCCTAACATCACATACCTTCAAATATTATTAACATAGGAATAACAGCGCACGCTTTCGAACGTCAGTATAGGCCTAACATAGGCCTAACTTGCAAATGTCAACATAGGCCTAACATCGTTCACTTGCAAATGTCAACATAGGCCTAACATCGATCACTTGCAAATGTCAACATGGGCCTAACTTGCAAATGTCAACATGGGCCTAACTTGCAAATATCAACACAGGCCTAACATCGCTCACTTGCAAATGTCAACATAGGCCTAACTTGCAAATGTCAACATAGGCCTAACATCGCTCACTTGCAAATGTCAACATGGGCCTAACTTGCAAATATCAACATGGGCCTAACTTGCAAATATCAACACAGGCCTAATATCGCTCACTTGCAAATGTCAACATGGGCCTAACCTCGCTCACTTTCAAACGATATGTAAGTTGCACTATTAGCGGTACCAGTAGCATACATTCAGTTATGAAGGACGTGTCACGTGCAGTCACGGCCCCTACGGCGCTCACGGCGGTCCGTACCGCTGTGTATACTGACTCACTGGCGTTATGACTGCTGAGAATCCAATGGATTCTCTCTTAATTTGTTATCCTTCAAAGAGTAAATACAGTGCAGTCATTAACATCGGTGTTTTGAATCCCAACACAAACGTGAGACAGCAATAGCGCCGCATAATATCCCAGCTATTTAGCGCATGCGCAGATCCAGTACAGTAAACCCTCGCTAATACGGATGTCGGATAATCCGGATCGAAATATGGAAAATGAGAAATGCTGTTCATAGTTGAGAATATTCTTTTTAAAAGACACGTGCTTGCATTTAGGAAGGCAGATGAGTCACTTGTCTGTTCACACAAAACTTGACAGTTTCTTCAAAACTACATTGTCACTTCCAAAAACAAGTACAACTTCTAAGTCTTCTATCGATGAATAAATGTATTGTATTTTTATAGTTTGTAAACAAAGGCTCTACATGGATTTTTTATGTGTTTTCATTAACACTATTTATATCGTTAAATTTGTTATTCACTTGTGTTGTAAGCTTTTTTTTTCTTTCATGGCTACATTTTGCTTCACTAATTCGGACTATCGCTTAATCCACATGACTCCCCCCTCAACCACTCCGGATTAGCGAAGGTCTACTGTATCTCGGGGAAAGTCATTCCTTCCACACATCCACCCCTCACCCTCTCTTTTCCTTCTTCCTATCACTTTATCTCCTTCCCTTCCTTCCCCTTTGTTCCTTTTCCATCCCTATTTGTCCGTTATACCGCCGTACATTATGACTAACTGCGTCCACACGAGACCATAATCATTTTCCCCGAGAACCACGTCCCATGCGAGCCCACATGAAAGTCGGTTTGCTGTAAATATTTCAGGAAGACATCCGCATGACACTTCAGTTGTACACTTTGAGGGTACTGAAGGAAAGCCCTGTTCGTTCAAGATGACGTCAGTTTCGGGCACAATTACATGCTCACCGTTTGGACCATAACTTTCCTCTGAAGTAATGTAGTGCTGCTGGTACAACATTTTTCTTCTTAGGCTTCCAGTAGAGAGAAGTTTCTTCAAAAGACTAATGACTGTAACGAACTGTTAAATGTACTCAAGCGTTGTGTTGTATGAATGTTCTGATGTTTTGTGTTTGTCATTTGTATAATGTCTGTACCGTGTAAACACTTGCAAACTTCCACACCGTAATGTTCTTGGCAGATTATGAGGTTTTAAACTGCACCACACGCGTAATTTTCGCGAGTTAACAAGTGTGTACAATGTACTTAAAATACTTATTATCATCCTTAGGAAATGTGTAACATGCTCAAACAAACCCCAACCACTGGCCCGTACAGTTCTCCGGCTCCATATAAGCACGATATGTGATTAACTTCCACATTGACAGTGGTTACACTGCAAAGTTCCGTAATGTTCATCACTGCTGGTATTTACAGTCTTGAATCCCGAATTACTGAGTTTCCTGGCTGCCATTAACCATTAAAAAGCATACTGGTAATAATAAATACCTCACAGTTCAATATTAGAAAGAGCAACTCTGCATTCTGCCCACATAGTGTGTTTGTGTTCCGTACGGTTCTCACAGTAAACAGCGACTGTTTCCCCAAACAGCATTAACCGGTTGGACTCTGCAGCGGAGACGTAATGTGTTTCCTGTGAGGTACGGAGTGAATCTCTATATTATTTGTGTGTTCCGTATGGTTCTCACAATAAACAGCGACTGTTTCCCTAAACAGCATTAACCGGTTGGGCTTTGTAGCGGAGACGTAATGTGTTTCCTGTGAGGTACGGACTGAATCTCTATATTATTTGTGTGTTCCGCATGGTTCTCACAACAAACAGCGACTGTTTCCCCAAACAGCACTAACCGGTTGGGCTTTGTAGCGGAGACGTAGTGTGTTTCCTGTGAGGTACGGACTGAAGCTCTATATTATTTGTGTGTTCCGTATGGTTCTCACAGTAAACAGCGACTGTTTCCCTAAACAGCATTAACCGGTTGGGCTTTGTAGCGGAGACGTAGTGTGTTTCCTGTGAGGTACGGACTGAAGCTCTATATTATTTGTGTGTTCCGTATGGTTCTCACAGTAAACAGCGACTGTTTCCCTAAACAGCACTAACCGGTTGGGCTCTGTAGCGGAGACGTAATGTGTTTCCTGTGAGGTACAGACTTAACATTTATATCTTTAGACGAACTCCCAGGCAGAGCAGGAAAATGTTCGCCCCCCCCCTACAAATGTAGTGTCCATCACTACCCCTCCGCCCCGAAACCTTCTTCTCTCTTATCCCTCTGGCTCCAAAGCGTTATTTGAGCAATTCAATTCATATTCTCGATGCCTTTACTAAGGAAGAAAGTTGGCTTATGAGAGCCCGTCTCACTCCTTTACACCTCTGAACCAGCGGACTGATTTTCACACTTGGTACGCATGTTATGCAATCAGGGGCTACTCAAACCTCGTACCTTTAATTTCCTACGTCCAGTTAGAATAATAATGCCGATATTCTTTGCAATCTGTGAGTATGATTCCTCCTGCAAAGTGGCAGACGCCCACAAGAGCGACGGGGGCTACTCCAGTAAAGCTGTTTCCATCATGCCAGCGGGGTTCACAGTCCTTAAAGTGAAAATGAATGCTAAGTGTACCGCTCTTGTTACGAACGTATCCGCCACTGATAACTTCAAAATATACAAGAATGGTCTTTGATGCATGTTACACATTTTGTGTGTTAAAAAGTGTTCTTATATTTCGTGTTCCTCAAAGCAAGACTTGTTATTTTTTAACCTATCTGTAATATAGATCTGTGTAGGTTTCTACTTCCATTAATTCTGTGGTCAGTATGAATAAATTCGTTATAGGAATTACTCAAGGACGTGCTAACTGGTAATTAAAAACAAGCATACACAAATCAACATCGTCAGCGTAATGCAAAGCGTAGGGCTTGTGGGACTTCAGGGTCCTCTTAAAATTGGCAAGTTCAGAACAGTTCTTCTGAAACTTTCCTCTGCATAGTTCCTCTCAACAGTTCCTCTGAGCGAGTCCCCTGACGGGTCTTCCGAACAGTACGTCTGAGCGATTGTTCACTTCAGTTCCTCCACGCAGTTATTCTGAATAGTTCCTCTGTCTAAACGGTTTCCACAAATAGTTCCTGCGAGCGGAACTTCTGGCTAGTTCCTCTGAACAGTTCTCCACAGAAAGCTACTATTGCATGTAGGAGCCTCTCGTGCCTGCTTTAATAAGCACCTCTCTGCCACTTTTCTGCTTGCGTTTGTCGGACTGATGCCTCCAGCCATAAAGCGAGCAGCGCACCAGTCGCGATTCATACACAAAAAGAATCGATCGAAAGCGAACTGCTATAACAGGACTACAAAGCATTTACATGTTACATTCCGGGTCAAAACCGCTTCACTTTTCGCACAATGCAGGCAAGTCGACACTGGACACTGGGACGTTAGTGCTATTCACACTTACGCCACATCGGAGCAAACTCTCTCCACGTACGCCTTCTGTGAATTCGAATGAATTCTGAGCAACAATAAAACACTTCATATAGTTTAAGCAAAGTTCTGTGAAGACGTAACCTTTCCGTGGATACGGTTGCCAGCTCCATCGCTCGTTCCCTCAACGTCAGCATTCATATGCCTTACGAACAACTGCTTTACTGACGCGACTACCAGACAAAGCCTCTCCATTAGTGAGGCAGTGAGGATGTTACTGCCTCAATATACGGGCTAAATCAATCGCTGTTAAAACTGTACTCTTCCGACTGTATGACTTCCTTCGATCTGAGCACAATTCGAATTTTGACATGTTCTCTCGAAATAGATATACCAGGGGCCGCAGTCCGGCCTGGACAGTCGAAACCGGCGCTTTTGAGCTAATAGGCGGCGGTGTGATATCTTTTTGAAAGAGGGCGACGTGAAACACGACGGTGTTCGGTTTCCGACCTCAGGCGGAAGCGAGAGCCTCTATCATTTAATCTGCATTTACAAGTGCAAAGCTACCTTCAGGCTACGAGACTGGCTTCTTGTCAGGAGTTGTGCGCGCCGGACAGCCCTGGTAGGGGCTACACCCCGGGATATAACTGACATGAGACCAGTATTAAAATTTCATATAACTGGATTCATCCTAAACGCATTACCGCACACGGCATCCGCTTTGCGTGCCTGCAGCAGGTGGGGAGACTGGTGATGTGGGGGGGTGAAGGCCCAGTCGCTATGACAACAATGCACGCAACAAAATTGTGCGAATGTCGTCCACTTTTACGTCTAACAGTCTAACGTCTCTAACAGCGGAAAGTCAACCCCACCCTCAGCCTCCTACCCTTCCGAGACCAACCACTGCAGACAAAATTCAAACTCATAATCCCGTTCCATCTCCCTAAATCCACACAACGTGAAACCACAAAAACGTGGCTAAAATAACAGTGCCTAAAATTAAAATATGAACTCAAAAAAAGTATTCTAAAAATGTACGAACAATGGACTCCTTCCGAGAAGAAAATAACATATTTATATAGAAACGACTTTAAATTAATCATATTATGTAAATAGAGAAACTTTTTTAAGTTTAAAATGAAATGTATAAATATGCACCCAATAAAATTCATTTTAAAATGACAGAATTAAATGAACGCGGTTTATTCACAATGAATTTCCTTTCGCTTCCTTCATAAAATTCCCCCTGATAACAACCCATCTCAGCGAGCTACTGCGACTACGTGCAGGCCCAAGGAAACAGGGCTGCACAGCCACCAGCGGGAGCCAGTGTGTCCAGTAAGAGGACCTCAACGGTAGCAGGTAAGGTGCTCTGTGATTGGGCAGGCTTGGTGTGCTGACCACATCTCACCTGCATACACGGATTCTCATATTTATCCGTCTGTCCGTCCGCGTGTTTCGCCATTCGAAACCTTCCACATTCCTTGGGGTTAAAGGGACAGGGGCGTGAAGCTGACCACTCTCCTCAACCTAGCGCCCGGGAAAACAAGGTGAGCCCATACCACCACTCCCCCACACGCCTTCACTGTCCTAGTGCTTAATGAAGAATCAGTACAGCGTGATCCTTTATCCCGCATTCGCCGGGACGGACTGAGGAATACCACGAACAGTTCAAGGACAATCAATATTGCTGCCAAGATTCGAACCGGATGTGTCCCGAAAACAAGTCCGGGCCAGTTTGCTGAGCGGCGGCGCATGAAGACACAAAATCTTGACACAACGATCCGTCTTCGTCTGAGCATCGGCGGGAGGGCAGAAGGAACATAAAAACGTTAATCCGGATTTGCAGGCGAGCTCTGCAAACAAAACCAACTGCGCGTGCGCTCCAAGTGGATAATATTCCATCGAGCAAGTGTTTTGTCACAGCTGTATTGCATTACGCACACATCACACAGGCCTATGGGCTGGACAGCCGGGGTTCGATTCCGGACAGGGACAAGAGATCTCTCTCTTCTCCACAGCGTCCAGACCGGCTCTGGGGCCCACCCAGCATTCTACCCAACGGGTACTGACGGCGCTTTGCCCCGGGTGTAAAGCTGACCACTTACTTTCATCTAGAGGTCAAGAATGGCACAGCTACACCTCCAGTCCCCCGCACCCCCCGCCCCCCCCCACGTCTTCATGGCGTGATCCTTAATGGATTAAGCCTTTACTGTTACCTTCCCACCCACGAGCTGAGCTGACATCCGCAGTTCCTTCCTCGCTAAGAACACAGAATGTCTCCCTTACGAAGATCGGCCAAAGCTGCTGTTCTGAGACTCACATGCACTGGGTTGCCAAAACGTGGTTTGCTTTGGTGATGCACACAGCAACCACTGTTCTGCAGTGCGTTAACAGTAACTGCTTACTTTCAAACACGTAAGAATGCATTTATGCACACTTTAACGACGCGCTGTCATGAAGTCACATACAGATACGGAAAGGAAGTGGAGCGGTCGTGGCGTCCTTTAAAGTAGCAGCCCACGATTTGCCAGGAGGATGGACCTCTGGGTCGAGATATGAACCAGGGATCTCCCAAGAACGAAGCGGGTGCTACCCGCTGGACGAGCTTAACGTCAAGCGATGTGAATCGGGTATGCATAGCCAACAGGCCGAATGCCTGCCTGCCTTCATAATAAACGGCGAAAATCGAAAGACTTAATATACCATCGTTAAACTGTAATCAATCACACTGCGGCAATTAATCATTGTCTGCACCGAGTAGGGAATCATACGGATTATTATAAACATCAAAACTGCTGCAGTATCTAAACGCATTTGGGATTTTAATGCCTTTTTTTTTGTGGGCTATTTCGCACCGCTGTCAGGGGTTCCACTACATCGCGTCGAACGGTGGGTGAGATGATTAATGAACTTTCGAAGGATGCAACCTTGATCTAATAGAAGTTGGGTACTTTCCCGGCATCAGCCTGGAGGGACTAGATAAGACCACGAAAAACTTCAGAACTGTCTGCACCCAGGGCAAGATTCGAACCGAGCTCCTCTCGATTACAAATCTAGACAGCTACGGCTACTAGGGATTACTGGGCTTCGGATTTTGTTGATCGTCCGGTACCCTCAAAACCCAGAGAACACAAAGTTTCGAAAACTGGATGGTGACTGGCTATGGGTAGATCTT